GCTGATGGTTCTAAATCAGAGAAGCAGTTGAGTATGTACCAAAAATAAAAGTGGGGATTAACTCCAACCAAGCAGCTCAGATGCACCAAACTCTTGTTCAGTGTGATCCTGCTGGTGCCAGCCAGTTTGCTCCTGGCGACTGGCTTAGTCCACAAAGATTTTTTTTTTTTGGTAGGTGGTTTCAAGTCATTGAAATCATTCCCTTGGCTTCCCCCCTCCCCAATTCAGAAAGCAGGAAATGTCTTTCCTGTGTAGCAGTCACAGAGCAGTCCCCTAGGGTTTTCAGGGGGCTTGTCTTCCAGTTCCTGCTTCTGGTTTCTAACTGTTAACTCTATATTTGGTAATGGCCTGACGATGGGCTGTTTTGGATTTGGTCATAATAAGATAACCTGGAGTCACGGAGCAGAGATCTAAAGCAATCTTATTTTTCCAGGAAGCAACGTGTTGACCTTTCAGGATTTCGTCTATTTATTGAGTGTTTTGAGTAGTTGAATAATGTTGTTTATTTATAGCACAAGATTGGGTGTTTATGCTATGGGTCCTTGAGGGTCTGTGACTGTACAGAAATAGGATACATACACTCTCCTGGTTTACAATGAGTTTATATTTGTTTCTTTGTTTCTTTCTGATGTAATCTAAGGAATGCTCTTTATGCATGCTCTTATCCCATGGCAGCCTTGAAAATAGCTACTTGCTCAGAAACGAATAAATATTTGTCAGATGAGTAAGACAAGTGTTGATTTTAATCCTTTTACATCAGGGCAAGAAAGAATCAACATCCCATTGATAGTCGATAACTTCCTCCTTCCCCCAGTATCTTTAAAGCTACATAGTGTTAAACCTATATGCACACAATCTTTTAGGAATAAAGAGATAATGAAATAGTGTTTGCCATTGGAAGAAGCCATTTAGAAAATAGTCAAAAACGATTGGATTCCTATTTTACCACCAGAGTGCTCTTCTAACCCTACTTAGATTTTGCTTTGTCGTGTTTTCAAACCCCAAGCGTTAACTTGTTTTGTAAGTAAGATCAGAATGACTGCACTTTCATTTCACAAAAGGAAAATCAAGGCATAAAAACATATTTTGATTATTGTAAGATCACCTTGGAAATGGGAAAGGATTTTGAGCTTCACAGAGAACCTTTTGTTTATGAAGTTATCAGTCATTAAACCAATTTCAGAGGATTATCATAAGAGAGCTAAAATAAGAGATTAAATTCTCCCCCTTGGAAACATTACTTTCATTTTAATATGAATACTGAGTGGTTTTACTTTCTTTAGTAATTTATATCTTATTTCTTGTCTCTTCAATGTTCACTATAGGCTGGAAGTTTTTTTTTTTTAATAGCAGGTGTATAGTGAATAATCTTTTAGAGAATCTAAGCTGTAATTCAGAAAATCAGTTCTTTTTATAACTTTCTATTTTCTTTTGGTCATTTTGCACTCGTTTTTATACTTAAAATCCTGTTTTACGAGCCAAAATTTGACCACAGGATCTGTGCAACTGTAATGATTCCATAATATCCCACAGCAGGGTGCACAGGGGTGAAAGCCACATGCTGGAGAACTGACCTGAGATCTGAACCCTCGCTGCATCCCTCTTGGCTTTGGGGGCATTACGTAACCTTTCAGATGAGAATTCTCACCTGAAAGATGGGACTAATCTACTCCCCAGGGGTCCTTCTGGGAGCTAAATAAAGTACATAAGGATTCTACACACAGGTAGCACAGGTTCCTTACCAGTGTCACTCAGTGCGAGTGCTATTAGCATCCTGGATTCTGTGAATGCCCCACCCAGTGCAGGATGCCCCCGAAAATGCCATGAGGACCCATAATGAGGGCTTTGTGAAATGATCACACTAAATCTATTGCTTATGCTGATTTTTTCTTCCATTCCTCTTTTTTAAAAATGTATATTTTGGCTTTGTATACTCATTCTTTGAGAATTAGCTCAAATTCACCTCCTCAAGTCCCTAACTTCCAGTAGCTGAGATGACATCATATTTAATGCTCTTGAAATCTATCACCATAAAGGCGCTTTACAGTGGCCTCCAGGCCCTACATGATCCAGCAGCTGCTACCTCTCAGGCCTCATTCTTCTACCACTCTTCTCCTCACTCTGCTGTAGCCCACTGGCCACCTGGCTTTTCCCTCAACATGCGAGGAATACCCATGCTTCAGGCCTGCGACATCACCAGGGGTCTTCCTAGGATCATCTCAACGTTCAAACTTATAGTATTATCATAAACCTCATTTGGTACCAGAATCATTGGAAAGAAACAGGATTGGAGTCACAGCTTGTCAGCCAGGCAGCATCAGACTCTCTCCCTTTGGGGGAATCTTCACAACTGCCTGTGTGGTGGTCCACACCGCTGCCCAGGAGCTAGTCTCTCCCTAAGCTTCTCCACGATCATCTCAGATGCAAGAAAAAGAGATCCACTGTAGGCAGATTCCGGATTTACTCTGGCTTCGATGCCTTATGCTCCAAAGGAGCCAATAGCTCTTGTAACTCAATAGATACACCTTCCATGTATCAAGGGACATGCCCAGTTACAAGTGTCACCACAGTCACAGAAATCCCATCTATGGCTTCCTACCAGGCGCTTATCATTCTCCCAGCCCAGATGCAGTTGACCAATCAGCAGCCATTTATGCCATAAGCAATGTTGCCTAGTAACACAGTTAACATTCTACCTTTATCAGGCTCCCAGGGAAGCTGAGCTAGAAAGCTGAGAAAGCCAAATGTCAAATTCTCCTGCAGAAGGGGAGGGGTCCTGTGACTGCTTTGTTCATCGTGTCTCTTACTCTTTCTGTTCCCTCTGTCTGGATGGCTCCTCCCGGGACATCTGCAAGGCCCGCTCCCGCACCGACTTCAGTTCCCTCCTCAAAAGTCACCTCCCAGTGAGGCCACCCTATTTGAGAACCACAACTCCTAATCTCACCTGCTGTGATCTCCTACCATCCTCGTGTGCTTTATTTTCTTTTTCATTGTCCTTATTACCTTCTAACATATATAATTTACCAACTGATTTTGCTTGTTTTTTCCCCCCACAGAATTTAAGTTCTTTAAGGCTGGGATATTTGTCTTTTATTTCTTTCCTCCTGCACTGATAATGCTTGGCCCCTAGAACAGTGCCTGGCACACAGCAGATTCTTCAACAACTATTTGTTTTATTTATGAATGAATTAATGCCCTTTCTCTCTTTCAGACTCTAGGTTTTCATTGGCATCCTTTTTTTTGGTGGGGGGAGGAGGGCGAGATATTCTCAGCCCACAAATAAAAAGCAGCATGGTGTTAGGGATTAAGGATAGGGACTTTGGGGCCAAACTGCTTGGACTTCAATAAGGGTTTTGCTACTCACCTTGGAAGTTTCTCTAATCTCTCTGTGCCTTAGTTTTGCATCTATAAACGGGGATAATAATAGTATATCCTAGCGTTGGCATGAGGATGAAATGATTTAAAACATGTGTAAAGTGTTCAGAAGAGTGCCTGACACGTAGGAAGCACTAGATGTTAACTATTATTAAAATCAACATTAAAAAGGTCTTTATTTCTCCTCTGCACCACTTCTAGCTATTTCCCTCTCTCCTAGCTCTCCTTCCTCTCAGATGATCTACTTGAAAGTTCCATAAGCCTTTAACTCCCACTCACTTTTCCAACCAGTGACACTAAGATTTCTAATGCCCTAGTTGCTGCTTTTCTCCCCTTAGCCCGTGAGTTAGTTGAACTACCTGCCATCACTGACCACACCTGAGCCCCTCCTCTCTCTTGGTTTCCCCCCGTCCTTATGGCTGCCCCTCCTCAGCCTTCTCCAGAGGAGTCTCCTTTTCATTCATTCACTCTTCACTGTTATTCCTGACATCATCTCACCAACCACATTCTCCTGGGGCGACTCCATTCCCAGGCATGGCTTCAACTCTCATGCTGATGACACCCAAAGGGTGTCAGTCCTAATGACTGTTTCCTAGAGACGTCGTGTCCTTTCTCACATCCATGACTTGGAGCTTTCCTTCCTCTTCCTGGCACTTTCTTCATCCCCAGCTCCCTTTTCCTGACTGGTTCTCAAGTTTTAATACAACCATTTCTCTTGTTCCTCTCCTCTGGACTCGCATAGAGCTTTTCAGAAGCCTCTAGCACAGTATAACCTTTTCTGTTGTCTGTTTATTTAGTTTCCCCCTAGAAATGAACTGCTTATAGGTATGTATGTCCTCAAAGTATGGTGCCTGATACATAGGTTTGCAAAAAAATCTGGATTCAATATATGAATATACAGTATCTATATAGAACAAATTATGATTCAGTTACAATTTAATTCAGAACTAAGCATTGGGTTAAGATAATATCTCATCAAAATGTCAGTCCTTCCAGAAAATCTTATCAGGGGTAAATATAAGAGATAAAGAAAAACATTCCATTTTAACAATATAAATGCACTCTGGCTATACATAATATATTTTGCTATATTCTATATTTTGCTGTGGATATAAAACCAACTTTGAAAGATAAAGGGCTCCCTTTGATGTTTGTGACATCAAATATTACTTGACTATAGTCAACTGCTCTTTGAGCTCAGTTAAATCTTACAAGTACCATATTTACCTAATTAGGAAAGTTTAGGAAATCAGGCTTCAGGCTCCCTGCCATGATTACAAACACCATGCATAAGTACAGAAGAGCAACTAATATATACATGGTTAAAAATCACACACTCTTTTTAAAGAGGTTTCAACGGCTTAGTGTCTTGCTCTAGCTCTGTTTTTTTTTTTTTTTTCCGGTACGCGGGCCTCTCACTGTTGTGGCCTCTCCCGTTGCGGAGCACAGGCTCCGGACACGCAGGCTCAGCGGCCATGGCTCACGGGCCCAGCCACTCCGCGGCATGTGGGATCTTACCGGACCGGGGCACGAACCCGCATCCCCTGCATCGGGAGGCGGACTCTCAACCACTGCGCCACCAGGGAAGCCCCTGGCTCTGTTTTGACATGAGTCTAGGGACCTACCTGCAAAGTGCATCCGAACACACCGATCATCAGCATGGCCACGGACAAGTAGTCGGTAAATACATCCCACCATGGCTTCAGAACCCGGAAGGCAGGCTGCTGCTCAGAGAACTGCCGGAACTCTGTCACCGGAATCATGTTTCTGAGAAAAGAGAGATTACTGGTGAATTAATTTATCTTTATGCACAACATACTGCATTGTTAACAGCATTTGAAATTCTGCTTCAACTCGTCGGATTCAGTGGTCTGAATCAGTCCAGGAGCTGTCACAGCACCTCAGAGTTTTAACAAGCCATTGAGAAATCCACCAGTTGAGGAAATAAGGAGCCCCATGTCGAAAAAGCAAGTACCTTTGCTAACTCTTGTCTAACCAGTGGGTGCCCTTTAGCTCCACATGGACCAGAAAGAGCATGACCAGAGCCACCCGTTATTTCCTGGTGTCTCCCTTCCCCTAAACAGAACACAAAGATGCCAGAAAGAGCAGAGCCCATCCTTTAAAATGTTTTTGCTATTTATCTTATCATCTTGGGTTTTTGCTTCAAACTATTTTTTTAAGTGTATCCTCAGCATTGGTTTGTATTAATTATTTACTAAGCCCCATTTGTAAAGCCTTTTGCTTGCTCCCTGGGGAAGGCAAACGACTTTGCCACTGGTCCTTTTCTTGTAAAAGGGACAGTCTCATTTTGGGGAGGAGGTGTTAGGGAGAACTTCAATTTTTTTTTTTGCCCTCCCTCTTTTTTTGGTTCCTGTGCTTTTGACTTGATTTTTTTTCTCTATTTCCTAAATTTCACTGTGAACCTCAAACTTATCCTCTGAGAAAACAGTTTTCTCTGGAAACACCTAACTCTAGCTAAATGACATAGGATATATGAATAGGGTGCACTGAGGCTCTGGGAAAAGGGGAAAAGAGACACATCCTTTTCTTAGCCTGCGTTGTCCTTTCTTATCGCTCAGTCCCACTGCCTGTATTATGATCTAAGACTTGAAGGTAACCATCCAGCTACTGGGAGAAGGAATATTCTTTCCTTATCTCATGGCAAGGAATAAGGGCCAAAAAGACAGTCTCTCTCCCTTTTGCCATCTTTGGATCCAATAATCTTGCTCTTTACACCTGCCCTTGTTATTTAGTCTGATTAAAGGCAGGGAAAGGCTACATTTGGTGCTCATTCTTCCAAGCCTTTTTGTTTCCTGGATCTTCTCTTCCCTAATAGTGAATTAAAGGCTGTACAATAAACAGCCTAAAGAAAACCAGAGCCTCTTCTTTGAGTTCACTGCTGTTTATCTTTGGAAACTATTATAATGTGTTCCATTCCATCTCACTGCTTTATCTGACTTTTTCTTAAGCAGTCTTCCTTAACACAACGTTGAAAATTCAACCGCTTCGTGCTGCTTTCACCTATGACCTACCTACTTGACATCTTTGCAGCATTTGATATGATTGCCTCATTTTATTGAAACACAACTTTCCTTTTCTTTTTTTTTTTTAATGTTTATTTATTTTTGGCTGCGCCAGGTCTTAGTTGTGGCACTCGGGCTTTTCGTTGTTGTGGAATGAGGACTTCTTAGTTGTGGCATGCAAACTCTTAGTTGCAGCATGCACGCGGGATCTAGTTCTCCAACCAGGGATGGAACCAGGGTCCCCTGCATTGGGAGTGCGGAGTCCTACCCACTGGACCACCATGAAGAGTCCCAAAACACAGCTTTCTTAACTCTACTTTGTTACCACCACTGGGCTGGAAGTTTCTTGAAGGGGGAAAACCTATATGTTATGCATATGTGTGTTCTCAAAACATATGTTGCAGGCAAGCCACCCAAGCTAAATAAAAAACTTCACTTATTCCTAGTGTTATTAGCATTTCAGACTAGTCCAAAGTTTGATTTTCCTGACCTTTCACGACCTTTTTCTTCTCAATGGATCATTATAATCTCATGGCCCCAAATGTTTTCTCGTCACAGCTATCCAGTGGCGGTCACAGACAGGCACGAACTCATCTTAACTTCCACATTCTGCCTAGAAGCTACTGTCTTGTTCTATTTTGCACCCCTACCACTTACCACAGTGCCTGGAAAACAAGGGGCCCTGAACAACTGTCTGTTAAATTGATGGGTGAATTCAGATGCTTGTTCATGGAGCAATGCTCACTCAATCAGATTGGGGGGGGACCCTAGGCAGCCACAGTGACAGCACTAACAAGTAGGGTACCTGTGCTGTAGTCTACATCCTTTGATAGATTTAGTTATTGTCTCCTTCATGATAAGTTCCTGTACATCTTGGAGGGAATTGGGCTTGTTCTTTGAAGCAAGGAACAATTTCAGGAATAAAATATACCAATGTGTATTTTATTGAGAGCTGTGTTCTCAAACTTTTTGACCTCAGGATCCTTTCATGTTCTAAAATGTAGTGAGGAGGACCTCAAAGAGCACTTTTTAGGTGGGTGATAGCTATCAATACTGGCCACATGAGAAATTAAAACCAAGAAGTTTCAAAAATATATATTAACTCACTTAAAAATAACAAAACCATTACAAGTTAACATAAATTGTTATTATAAAAAATAACTATATTCTCCAACACAAAAACAATTAATGAGAATAATGGCATTGTTTTACATTTTTGCAAATCTCTTTAAAAGCTGGCTTAATAGAATATAGCTGGATTCTCATATCTGCTTCTTCAATCTGCTGAGATTTTTTTTTTTTTTGCTGTACGCGGGCCTCTCACTGTTGTGGCTTCTCCCGTTGTGCAGCACAGGCTCCGGACGCACAGGCTCAGCGGCCATGGCTCACGGACCCAGCCGCTCCGCGGCATGTGGGATCTTCCCAGACCGGGGCACAAACCCGTGTCCTCTGTATCAGCAGGTGGACTCTCAACCGCTGCGTCACCAGGGAAGCCCAAGATATGTTGTTTTGATTGAAATTTATGAATCAAATATATATGCAGTTAGCAAAGGGAGGACTTTCTTAACAGACTTTTTATATAATTGGGGATATTAACTTTTGATAATATATCAAACTAACTTGGTTAGTTGCAATATGGAATCTGAAAACTATATCAATGAACTTTTCAAGCTCCTTGATGTTAAAACTCATTCGTCAGGGAGGACCTTCAAGATGGTGGAGAAGTAAGACATGGAGATCACCTTCCTCCCCACAACTACATCAAAAATACAACTACATGTGGAACCACTCTTATAGAACGCCTACTGAACGCTGGCAGAAGACCTCAGACTTCCCAAAAGGCAAGAAACTCCACAAGTACCTGGGTACGGAAAAAGAAAAAAGGAAAAACAGAGACAAAAGAATAGGGACAGGACCTGCACCAGTGGGAAGGAGCTGTGAAGGAGGAAAGGTTTCCACACACTAGGAAGCCCCTTCGCGGGCGGAGACTGCGGGTGGCGGAGGGGGACAGCTTCGGAGCCACGGAGGAGAGCACAGCAACAGGGGTGTGGAAGGCAAAGCAAAGAGATTCCCGCACAGAGGATCGGTGCCGACCGGCACTCACCAGCCTGAAAGGCTTGTCTGCTCACCCGCCAGGGCGGGCGGGGCTGGGAGCTGAGGCTCGGGCTTCGGTCGGAGCGCAGGGAGAGGACTGGGGTTGGCGGTGTGAACACAGCCTGCAGGGGGCTAGTGCGCTACAGCTAGCAGGGAGGGAGTCCGGGAGAAAGTCTGGACTTACAGAAGAGGCAGGAGACCATTGTTTCGGGGTTCGCGAGGAGAGGGAATTAAAAGCGCCACTTAAAGGTGCTCCAGACACGGGCGTGAGCCGCGGCAATCAGCCGGGACCCCACAGACGGGCATGAGATGCTAAGGCTGCTGCTGCTGCCACCAAGACGCCTGTGTGCAAGCACAGGTCACTCTCCACACCTCCCCTCCCGGGAGCCTGTGCAGCCCGCCACTGCAGGGTTAGTGATCCAGGGACAACTTCCCCAGGAGAACGCACGGCGCGCCTCAGGCTGGTGCAACGTCACAGTGGCCTCTGCCGCCGCAGGCTCGCCCCGCACTCCGTGCCCCTCCCTCTCCCCTGGCCTGAGTGAGCCAGAGCCCCCGAATCAGCGGCTCCTTTAACCCCGTCCTGTCTGAGCAAAGAACAGACGCCCTCAGGTGACCTACACGCAGGGGCGGGGCCAAATCCAAAGCTGAGCCCCAGGAGCTGTGCGAACAAAGGAAAGAAAGGGAAATCTCTCCCAGCAGCCTCAGGAGTGGCGGATTAAATCTCCACAATCAGCTTCATGTACCCTGCCTCTGTGGAATACCTGAATAGATAACGAATCATCCCAAATTGAGGAGGTGGACTTTGGGAGCAACTGTAGACTTGGGGTTTGCTGTCTGCACTCTTTCTAATTTTTATGTTTATCTCAGTATAGATTTTAGCACTTGTTATCATTAGTGGATTTGTTTATTGGTTTGGTTGCTCTCTTCTTTTTTTTTATTATTTATTTAAATAATTTTTTCATCTATTATTATTCTCTTTTTCATTCTTTTTTTCTCCCTTTTTTCTGAGCCGTGTGGCTGACAGGGTCTTGGTGCTCTCACCTGGTGTCAGGCCTGAGCCTCTGAGGTGGGAGAGCTGAGTTAATGACACTGGACCACCAGTGACCTCCCAGCGCCACGTAATATAAATCAGCGAGAGCTCTCCCAGAGATCTCCATCTCAATGCTAAGACCCAGCTCCACCCAACTGCCAGCAAGCGCCAGTGTTTGATGCCCCATGCCAATCAACTAGCAAGACAGGAACACAACCCTGCCCATTAGCAGAGAGGCTGCCTAAAGTCATACTAAGTTCACAGACACCCCAAAACACACCACCGGATGCGGCCCTGCCCACAAGAAAGACAAGATGCAGCCCCACCCACCAGAGCAGAGGCACCAGTCCCCTCCACCAGGAAGCCTACACAAGCCACTGAATCAACGTCAGCCACTGGGGGCAGACACCAAAAACAACGGAAACTAGGAACCTGCAGCGTGCGAAAAGGAGACCCCAAACACAGGAAATTAAACAAAATGAGAAAACAGAGAAATATGCAGCAGATGAAGGAGCAAGGTAAAAACCCACCAGAGCCAACAAATGAAGAGGAAATAGGCAGGCTACCTGAAAAAGAATTCAGAATAATGGTAGTAAAGATGATCCAAAAATTTGGAAATA